TCATAGGATGATTAAAATTAGTAAAACCAAGGGGCTCCACACTCAGTGCATGTAGGAGGAGCAAAGTATTGCTATAAAAGCCAAATGATTTAAAATGGAAAGGACGTGTTTCCTAAGACTTGCACAACTCCTCATCACACCTGCTGCCACGTGCCAGAGCCCTTTGGATTACAGTCGGAGGTGGTTAATTTGTCTGGCTGAAGGGCACATATATGCCCATACATAAATGAGACAGACAAACTGATAATGTCTGTTGTGTGCTATGGTCCCCTCTGTTCAAAGTTCCCCATGTCTCTTAGGAGAATAAAAAAAAGAAAATCTCCACAACGTGCATGTTTAACTGTTTTATTTAATGTCTACTGTTAATGACAAATACACTAGCACCTTGTCTCCACTTTTACCTTTTAAAGTGTAGAGAGATTTTTCAATAGGAGGTCACAATTTTGATCTTGATTTTTTTTTTTAAGGATAATTTCTGTTTGGTTACCTTAAGGGTAATTCCATTTACATCTGCAAATTGTACTTCACACAGCAGTCTCAAGTTTTTACAAGCAAAAGTCTGAAATATCTTGTACTTTAATTTTCCTATAAACTATACACACATTAAAAATTCTGAAAAAAATACATGCGTACGAAGAAGTATGCATATATGCCTTCTAGTAACAAACTGAGTTTAATCTTTACTTAAAAGATTATCAACAGGTTGAAAATTGGTCAGAACTCCTAAGCAACATATAATACACTTGACATTTTCATGGGCACACATTTTTTTCCAACTAAAAAAGTGTCATTAAAAAAAAGCTACATCATTTATTTTAAGTATCAGACAAATGGAAACTTTAAGTGAGTTTAAGCACAAAACTTTACTTGTTTTGATAAAACCGGTACTTGACAACCAAGGTATAGTTCAATAAAACTGAATTTGACACAGCAAATGTAATTGACAAGCATGTACTTTTAAGTCAAAATCTCAATAAAAGCACAATAAATTATTTACCAAATATAAAATGTAATTTTCATCAGTGTAAAAATAAAACAAAAACAACACAACTTATTATAGTCAGAGATCATAGCAGTTTCTTTTTTCAGTTTACAACCATTTTGCTATAAGATACCACATATATTTTTGGAACTATATTCCCCAATGAATGTAGCCACAGGGGAGGAAAAAGAAAAAAATAGAATTAAAAAAAAGGAAAAAGCTTCCCCTATTTGGTTTGCAATTATCTCTTTGAGGAATGAAATCAATTTCCTATATTTTTATTTACAAATATTATTTACATTTGTTGTCTCGTGATACTGTTGTGAGATACCCATTCCGTTCTGAGAGTAAGGCAAGGCTCTATAGTAACGATTGCTTATTAAAACCAGTAGAGGGAGCTCTAATTAATGTTTTTATTTATTAAAGCATTATGTAATATGGTAGATTTTGATCAGAAAGGTACATTTTAAACATTCAGTAGACATTCTGGTATTTAATTTGAAGTAATAGATTAACTCTCTGATGGGCATTGCTAGTAACAGTATAACTAAGAGTAAGGGGAGGTAAATAACCTTTATTCCCATTTTAATTTGGGCAGACTAGCCTGTATTCCCTTCTCACGACTGCAGCCCCCTCCATCGGTCCCTGTGGGACTCTCACAGTCACCAGGACTTTCCTTCCCAATTCCTTCAACGTTGCCTCATTTCCTCTACCTGTCCGTCACAGGCAGGTATCTCAGCAGCATCAGTGTCTGTAAAGGGAAGCAAAACTTCACAAGCTGCTCCCAACCCTTGCTATAAAGGCACAGTACACACGTACCACCCAGAAGGTTTTGAATCTGTGAGACAGCTTCAAATATTTTTAAGGGCAAATTGGCTTACACCTCTCTGTCCATTTTCAAAAAATCCAGCCACGTTAACTCAGAGTCTACTCTTGCCCCCCTACTTCCACCCACACTGCAGTCTCAGACAGGTATTCTGTGCTAAGTGCTTTCTGTGCTGCTCCCCAGATATAAAACACCACGCAAATTCAACAAAGTTTACGTTTTTCTCTTCACTACCATTCTTTTGGATCATGTCCCTCAAAATGGGAGGTGTTTATATTTTCATTGCTTATATTCATAGCTGTGCAGCATATCTCGAGTGATTCAGTCTGCATTGGATTGGACGTGATACAAAAGAATCCTTCAGGTAAAGAAGTTTGTATCAAACAAGATATATGGGGTTTTTTAATGTGCAATAAATAGCGTATCAATTTCTAACTAATGTGCTCACAAGTTTAGTGTAATAGAACCAGGAAATCACTGCTATGGACAGTGCCAAACAGGATGTGGAGGACTGTAGAGAGGTCTGAGATAAACCATAGGATCCCTTCATGGCTAGTATGTACGTGTGGAAATGGGGCAGCCAGCTTACAGAATGTCAAATGTAAAAAATACTTATATGTTGGGAAGAGCAGAACCTAGAGAAGTGAAACACAAGGAAGTGTGTTTGAATTTTATACAAAGAAGATGAAGCCAACAGAAAAAAAATAAAGAAAACACTGAAATATCAATTTAAATACACATAACAAACCCCACCAAGTAAAAATCCATGAACAAGATGAGAAAGGACTCTGTGAAAGACAATGTCATGAAAGCCTAACGGGGCATACAATATTTACTTGCCCTATTGAACTGAACACTTATGCTCTCAGAGTTTAAATCTCTCTTCCGTAGAGTACAGAATTTATTAAGCAGAAGAAATAAAAAATAAAAGTATGCAAGCAAGCACAGTGAGAAATACACTTCAATATAATGATAAATAGTACTGTGCTGTAAAATAACCTTTTCATTACTTTCCTGGCTTCTTTGGTTGCGCTGGACTTTTCTCTTTCCGTTTAGCAGCCTTCTCTTGTTTCAGCTGTAACAAACAAGGAAAGATATATCAGCGTTTCAAGCACTAATTTGTAAGTAGACAAGTAACACCATATCGACCACTAATAACCAGTCACAAATTAACCAGAGAGATTTACGGAATGGAGAGCCTTCTTAGGTCAGTCTAGCAGTGCTCACTTGTGTATCACGTGAAAAAGAGGCACCTGCCTAGCTCTGCAGTTCCTCCCTTACCCAACCCACAGCTGCCTTTATCTCTGATAATGTCAATTTAGCAATTTACGTAGCCATGAAGGCCAAAGTGCCTCACAATTGTCATGATTTTGTCTTCAGGATACTTTAGAAGCAACAGTTGTTCTCAAGTATCGTTCCATAAGTCAACAAAATACTACTTACAACAACTATGAAAAGGATGTGTATCATAAGGTATCTTGCACCTACCAAATTTGCAAAGAAAAAAAAACTTTTTTTTTTTTTTTTTTTTGCTATGAAAGTGTCAGAAGGAAGTAAGGCTTCCATTCTGATTTGGACACCTACAGGTGAACACACTGATCAACAATCCTGTTGTTGGTCCACACAGCAATTATTTAAAAGTTTTTTTACATGTGGAGGCTTGATGTCAGTATCTGAAATCCTACCTTTTCCAAAGCAAATAAAATCTTCGAGGAAAAAAAGGAAGAGCAATCTGGATTTAATAGCAATGCTTCCCCTCTCCTCCACCCTGTAAACTGATACTATATCTGCAACCTGTTGTCATTTAGGCTTTTATAACCCAGGTATTGTGCAACATTGCCTTGCAAAAAAAAAATAGTGAAGACACGCTTCCAGCGGACATGGTGGAGCTAAGGACAATGGGGTGAAAGAGCAGGTATTTCAGGACCTAAATAATGTTATACTGTATGGCATTTGCTCAGTACAATCAGTGGAATGGAGCAGGCACTTCTGAGACAGTGATCCTGATCATCTGAAAAAGATGCACCAAATTTAACCCAACCACATAGATCTTCCTAAGAGTATGATGAAGTTTTGTGTATGAGGGTAGCAAACATACACGTTAAAATGGATTTTTTTGAGTCTTGGCCACATAGTAAAATATTTTGCTTTTCCATAATGGATATTTAACTCAATACAAATCTGCCCAGATAAGGCAAATACCATTCCAAATATGACAGCCTCTTAAATCCTAGAGTAACATGAAACTGTATTGCAAAGCTCATTTTAAGAGGCTAGTCTTAATACAATGCATTTATGGGCCACTTCCTTCATGTGTTTATCTTTCTTAGACACACAATAAATCATCAAGAAAGAAACTGAATGACTTACCCTTTCCTGATAACGTCTTTCAAAATAAGCCATGTCATCTTCTTCTGAACGCCTTTCATGAGAAACCTGCATTGTAGCATTAGAAACACCTGAAGGAAAAGAACATTTATATGAATTATACTTGCTATTATATTTATTATATTGCCTGTTTGAAAAAATACATTTAAAAATGAGATGCAGTAAAAAACATCATAAGCAAGTAATAAACCCTGTTAATGAGGACAAAAGAGTATAGAGTTGTAGTTAATATAAAGAGCTTTGGGGGAGCTGATCGGTAATGTTAATTGACGAATACTAACACTAAATGAGGGATATAAAATGAAACGAGTAACTGATACCTAATTCATGCTGAAAAGACTTTCTGGCAGAAGGCAATTCTGAAGGCATTATGTTAAATGTGTGTACAAGTGCATACGTACGTGCAAGTGTGTGTGTATAAATGTAGATATGCACTATGGATTTAGATATGTTAAGCTCTTACTAGGAATAAAAATATTTTTAAATTGATTCAATGAAGAAGTGATATTATGGATAAGGACAATAGCAAATGCAAGGGAAAAATAATTAAAATGCTATTAACAAAATAACAAGTAGTAATAATAATATAGTTATTTTAAGCACTTGAAGTGCAGAAATGTTGTACCAACATTTTAGATAACTTGACTTCAATATTTGTTTTAATTTTCAACTTGATTTTACCCTTAAACATCTTTCAACTCATAAATGGAAATAACTTTATACAATACACTGATTGTAATAAAACCATATTAGTAAACCACCTGCTATTGCTGAGCTGGTTTGAGCAGAAGTAGAAGGTCCTTGAAATGCTTTTAGAAATGGATGATCCATGTTGGTAGAAGGAGATTCTAAAAATTCAGTGGAAGGAGCCCCTGTTACAAAAATAATGGAAAACAATAATTAGCTTCACAAGATATGTTAAAAATATGATGCAATGTGGTCAAAACAAGACTAGAGACTCCAATCAACAGCACTGAGAGCAGACCAAATAAACTTAAGAAAAACACTTCAGGGCATGACTTCAAAATAAATGAAAAAAAAATGTATTTCTTTAGTTACAACTGCTACAACATAGTTTCTGAATTTCAGGCAGATCAAGGAAACCAGATTATAATTTTTAAAAGGAATAATAAAATCAGTACATGGCAATAATAAATAAAACAGTATTTCAGGATAAAATGAGTACGTTATTACATGTCACAGAACCAGAGAGTAGCAGAGATATCAAGACACACTATGTGGGTGTTCTAAAAATTACCTCTTTTCTTTTTATATGCTTAACAGTTATTAACTGAGGGTTTATTTAAGAAATCATTTTCAATTTCATCTGAAATATGCCTTACACTGGAAGAAAGAATCATATATCATTTGCTGGATGGCAAACTTGAAGTGAATGACGAGCAAAATGGGATAATGTAACAAAATTTAATTCCTATGGGGAGCAATTATCAAATGTGATTATTCCTTGCAAAAACTTTTGCCCAATGTTGTGACCTGTAAAAATACAGCCAGTAAAGTTTGCAGATGGCATACAAAATAGTTTAATGGTAAACAAAAATGGTAAATCAATCATACAGAACACTCTGGATTTTTTTGGTAGATAGGCACTTTTATACAACATGCATTTTAGTACACTCTTGCAGTAGTACTCTTGCAGAGTTCAGCATCTAAGAATAAACTACGTGAATTGTACTTACAATAGAAGGAGGCGAAATTGAATCCCAAAATCTATGAATTCTGAAAAATAATATGGGAACCGTATAATCAAGAAAATCTCAAGGCAGTATTAGGGTAGAAGGACTAATGTAGCTATAAAATGAATATATTAGGAGGGAAAAGGAAATAGAGTTCTTTTTAAAAGATGTGCTATGGTGCAACCAAAAGCTACTAGGCCTAAGGGAAATATCAGCAAAAGAGTTTTTCCAAGTATTTGCTCCAGGAAGTTGGACAAAGTCACAGTGGTCTCTTCAGACCTCAGGATTCCCCTGAAAATAAAGTCTGTGCTTTTAAGCCCTACTCCTATTCATCTAATTTCTCTTCCAAATTTTAGAGTCTGTAGGATTTTTACATTTCAAAAATACCTAGTCTGAGAATTGAAATTTCACCTCAGATCAACTTTACTTACCTATTCCACTGTCATCAAGTCTCATGTAGCCTTCTGCTAGTGAACTGAAACCAGTCAAGCCTCCCATAGCAGCGTAAGGTACATCCTGCCCCACAGGCCGTCCTTGGGCTAACCGCTCTGCTTTGGTTTCCACTACAGTTTCATGAGCATATGTTGGCTGACCACATCCACAGGTAAAGCAACTGTGGAATCCTGAGCACTTGGAACCTAATTAAAACATAAATAGGTATTTTGAATGAGATGATAAGTGGAAATAGATGGAAAATATATTACACAGCTGACAAGAGCCATTTCTCTAATTAATGTTGTCAAGAACCACTGAGTTCCTTCACTGCAAGAGCATCTAGTCAGGCTTCCTGTTTGGAAACTCATATGGGACTCTGGCAAAGCAATCAGCAGTCATTGCTGCAGCCTTTTAGAGTCTTCATCATTATATGAAAACGCTTTGTAAGACAGCAGAAAGGATGAATGTGAGGTTTTGATCACGGGAATCACAAATCTGAATTCTGCTCTTGGAGTCAATCCTCAGGCAGGGCCAGTTGTTGCACTGGTTGTGTATTTTGTTCTCACGTTTGATCAAGGGAAATCAGCAAGGTAGAAGGCATTTAACCAACAACATGGGAATAAAATCCACTGTTTTGGAGGCTGACAGCAATAGCTATCCATCACCTTCCTTGCCAAATTACTCCAGTTACCTGGTAAACGAACAGAAAATCAGGTACGTTATAACAGCACGCGGAGGACTGGTGTATCTGGGATGCTGAGTGGTTTTGTTGATCGATCACAGGGTCTGACCTTTCCAAACTGCAAATCATTCTGCAAGTCTGACATATGGATTCAACACTTAAAAAAAAGGTTACTTTCCTTCCAGTTTCTACTATTTTTACCTTCTCTTTAAATCAAGAGTACTAATTTACCTTGAAGTACAATAAGAAGGAGGAAGATACAAAACCAAAGTATTTGTTTGCATTCTGCTTGAACCTGTAAAGCCTACAACATTCAAAAAATCTTATTATTCAGTGATACACAACCTCTTCTCAACTTTTGCTGATTTCCATCTTTGGTTCATATAAAAACCCTAGATAGGAACTCTGAAATTATTACACAGTGTCACTCACAGCGATGTTGGCATTATGGGAAAAGAAATAAGAATGACGAAATAATTAAAAGCCAGAAGGAACCTCTGCAAGTCATCTGGTCCAACTCTGTGATAGAAGGAGAGCAAAACCAGGGTAGGATGCTAAGGGTCTCACCCTGTCAAGTTCAGTGCAACTCCAAGGAGGGGGCACCTCCCACCTTTCCACAGCCTCTCCAAGCAGCCTGTTCCAACATCTGACTTGCCTCAGGGTAAGCGCTTCTTTCTCAGTGTTTAATCAAAATCTCCTATGTTGGAACTTGTATCTGTTGCTGTTAGTAACACCCTTCTATTTCCCCACACTCACCCCAAAATCAAATATATATATGTACCTGTCACAGGGTAGAAATTCAAGCTACCAGAATTCTGTCAACATTATCTCCAAATCTCTACAGCAGGTGGTAATGCTGTATAGCAAAAACGCTACTAATCCCCATTTACAAACAAATCACATAATTTAGATATCTATCTTAAAAAACAGAAAAAAAAAAAGATCCTGCCAGTAAACAGAGACTGTGCTAACAGCAAAATAGATTTGACATAGCAAACATCAGAGCCCTACTAAGGCAATGACGTGAACTTTTTTTTTTTTTTTGGGGGGGTGGGAATCAAACATAACCCTCCCTCTCTATTCAAATACATAATAAGGTGCATACAACATATATACAGTGAAACTGCAACATCACATCGATTACAGAAAGATTACACCTCTAATTTACTCATTACATCAGGCTTAAACAACACTGACTTAGACTAATGCAAGGAAAATAAAATGATAAAATTCCAGAAGTGAAATAAGTTGTAGCACTTCTCTATACAGCTTTTGTGTCCCTCAGAACTGTCAGGTATTTTGAGAAACAATAGAAAAAAAAATAAATCTAAAAATCATGTAAAATGTAAGAGATTACTAAAAACACTCTGTTCTAAGGGTTCAGTTGGAATCATCCAATTTCACAGTTAAGGCTCTCTCACACATTACTTGGAGCAAATTCTTGAAAAGCTGTCACATTTTATGTACTATTCTGTTGAACAACGTTCTCTTTTCATCCAACAAAAGCTGTTTATTTTTCTGTACAGATTAGATAGACTTCAAGGAAGAAATTTACTAACAGTGCAGAACTCTAACAAAAAAGTCTTCAGCTTATATAATTCAAGGTTTCAAAGAAAAGCAGCTTTATGTACTATTTAATTTCTATGGTTAATAATCACCGCTGTTTCAGTACAAAAACCTTAACTAACCGAAGTAAAAAGCTTTTTCTTAATTGAAAGAATGATTTTTTCCTTCACAACCTTTTTGCTTTAAACCCCTTCACATTTCCAGACACACAACCTGTAGGTTTGAGATCTCTGTCTCTTTTCTTTTTTTTTTTTTTTTAAGAGTGATCACAATAGGACTATTTGGGAACAGAGTGTTGTTTCCTATTGAGTTGAGAAAAGATATACGAATACGTTACCATTAGATGCAACTAGGCAATAGAGGAATGGAGATTAACAGCTCTCCCTGAGACTACCAAATTCAAGTAGAAAAATCATGTGCACGCAGCAATGGAAGTGACAAACTGCAAACAGGGTGTTTTCAGGCTGCCTAACTTTAGGTGGCTGGTCTCTCCATATGTTCCTAACTTAATCAATCAGGAAACTTACGCTCCTTTGAAGAATTTAAGCAAACTAAGGATGCTCTTCTACACCATTCTGAGCAAAAGGCCATGTCTTCCTTCCCATTTCTCAACCTCTCACAGGAGCCAAAATATACATCAATGACAAGTGCAGCACATACCTAACATTCTGGGCAGAACATAGATCCTTAAATGCAAGCCCTAAAACATTGTTCCTGTTAAGTTTACTGAAGGAAGGCTGCAAGCACATAAGCAACTTACAAGAGTTACATGAAAATCCAGGGGCTGCACTGTGCTGATCAGCAAAATGTTTGCATCGACACCGAATGGGCTGCGTGCCGTTCAGAGGAACATAGTGATAGGACTGGCACTGACAGCCGCTTACTCTACAGGGCACGCGAATAGGACGATCATTTGGAATCTCTTCATAGTCAGTTTTGTGTTGTTTATATCTAAAACACACAAAAATAATGACATTCATAACTTTGTTAGTATTTATCTGAGATTTAATGAAAGGCTTGTAATCTAGTTTACGAGTCATGTGTTGAAGTACCTTTAAACATCCTCAGAATTATTTGTTAATTTTCAATTAGATAGATAATATAAAGTGCTTTTCCATGCATACATTATACGAGTACCACAAATATTTTATTTGGACAGCACTAGACCAGTTCCCTTCTGGTCTACAATATCTCACACCATGAAGGCTAAGCTGAATTTACTAAAGACTACAAAATTTTGCTGTTCTCAAAAGTCACTTGAGATTTTTATTTAAGAACTTCTCTTATAATTTAAAACCTAACTTTTTTTTTTGACCTTACATTAACTTCCCTATACTGTACTGCAACATTTCTGGAAATATTTTACATCTCCCTAACTAAAAGAAAAAAATAAACTCAGTGAAAAAAAAATCCCACCGATGAGTACAAAAGCACTGTGTCTCTGGCCCCACGAGTTTGCAGTCCATGCCGGTCGGTGATCTCCAGCTCACATACAACCTGTTCTTTAACCGAATTGGTAATACTTTTCTTTTATATTCTTCATATTCCTCAGGGGTAAAGAGCTTTCCTCCATCATCATCACCTACAATTCTGCAAGCATGTCATAAAAAAAAAAGAAGAAAAATGAACAACATGGAAGTTTGCTTCTCCAGATATTTAACAACAAATGAGTAAAACAATGCTAAAAAAATGAACCATAGACAAGTTATTTGAATAACGCTTTTTAATAAATTTGTTCTGATGCCTGAAAACTGTCAACAGGAGTTGTAGGGGAAAAAAAGCAAACTATTAGGTTTCTTTTTATAACGCAGAAGAAATGGACTTGCCATCAAAAGTTGTACGATTAGCCTGACCTCTGACAAGTCACTTCACACATCTACGTGTCTGTATTTCTATTAAATTTTCTACTTATGATATATCCCTAATTGCAGCACATAATGATGCTGGAAGGTAGTTTGTTGACACCTGTAAATATTCAGTTACTATTTATTTGCTGTACAAAAATATATCTGAGTGATCCTCATCCGTTCTGTGTTTTCACATTATCAGTGCAGTCCAGTTAACACTTCAATACGTTATCACCATACATGCACATCGGTGGAGCTGATATCTGCAGTCTTTGCTGTTTGGAATCAGTACATAAACACGTATAAGAAATATGAGCATGTGCATCATTGCTGCTTTAAGGAGGCTTTATGAAGCTAAATTTCCTATGCTAATTAATACATTTCAGTGGAGCAACTGAATTTATGTTTACTTTTTCTTGAGGTAAACTCTTCAACAGCAGAGACAGCCAGATTGGCAAGAATACCCCAGGGCACAAGGGGCGCATGTTTATACCCAACAAAACACAGCCCAGAGCCCCTGTCTCCTGCAGAGCAGCCCCGGTGCCAGACAGCCCTCTCACAGCGTCCAGCCAAGGCGCACGGCCGCACCAACAGGCCTGAGCAGGGGAAACGCGGGCAGCCTCTCACGCCTCCCTTAGGAGTCAACCTTTACAGAAGGAGTGTTCACAGGGTGGGCATAAAGGACGGGGGTGCCACTCGTCGCTGTTCCCTAACTCTCTCAGAACAACAAAATAGGTATATATAAATAAATACGTGAATAAAGAAAGCTTCTCCTTGGAAAAAAAAATGAGGCACGAGCACCTTCACAAGGGGCCTCGCTAAGTGCAGGGAGGAGGTAAGAGCAAAAGCAGCCGGCTCCGACAAGGGCTGCGGCTCCGACAAGGGCTGCGGGCCCCCCCCCACCCCCCCCCGGGGGGGC